CAGAAAGAGTGTCTTCTTGTCAATGCACCTTTGATTTGTAGAGCTGCTTCACGTGTTCCCTTTTCTGTTCTCAAGTACGCAATGACCCTTGATGGTGAGATGAGAATTCTATTCATTTTCCCTTTTCTTGAACGGATTATAGTAAAAGAAATTGTGTTACTCGGGTATTTGTCTAGTTGGTCTTTACCTTTTACTTCTGCAGGAAAAATTGCTGCTAGCTCTGGCCATGCATCATGGATAAGCAGCAAGCAGTCTAGACATCTAGTTTTTGAGTTACGAGGTAGAAGTGATGCCATTATTGTTGGGGGGAATACAGTTCGAATGGACAGTGAGTATCGTCATTACTGCCTTTGAATTTCTCTGAATTTGAATTTTTATAGTTTAACTCCCTTGATAATTAATCAGATCCAAGACTAACGGCCAGACATGGAGGAGGGCATATGCCAATGCGAGTTGTAATGTCCCAGACTCTTGATCTTCCAGAGGAAGCAAATCTGTGGGACATGTCTGAGGTTTCTACCATAGTTGTAACACAAAGGGGTGCAAGGAGGAGTTTCCAGAAGCAGCTTGCATCTAAAGGAGTTGAGGTTGTGGAGTTTGACATATTGAATCCCCGAGAAGTTATGGAGTATTTCCATGATCGTGGTTATCTTTCAATTTTATGGGAATGTGGAGGAGCACTGGCTGCATCTGCTATTTCATCTGGAGTAATTCACAAGGTGTTGTTCATGCTTTCATTTTTTTTTTCTTCTTGGAAATATTAAATGGGGTTCCACACTTCCACTTGTTATTGGCATAGTTAGATACTTTTCAGTTTTTGCAATTAATTTACTGCTATGTAGTAGATTATATGCTAATAATAGATAGGCACCAGAAGGGTTGTACACAATCTTATGGGATAATCAAGAGACATTCACGGAATGCTTTTCTATGTTTTGATCATCCACCAAAATAATTAGTAATATAATATTTCTTGGCCTTAAGCAGGAGCCAGAAAACTATTGAGCTAAAAGGAAGTTTAATATAAGCTTAACTTGATAATAGTTGTTTTTCTTTTAACTGGCTGAAAATAATAAAATTCTATTAGAAATTAAAGTACAGATAAGAATGAAAAATATGTAGGATATAAAATGATACCCCTTTGTTGCTGTCTCAGTTTTCTTGTTTTGTGTTCTACATAGTTGTTTTTTTCTGGGTAGGGGGTTTCGGTGACAAAGATACTAACCTTACCAAATGCAGAAATGCATCATTTGTTTGGATAGTTGTACTCAATTAGTGATGCACAAACTCCAATTAGAATTCATTTGGCTTAGCTGGCTTTATCTTGTTTTAATTTTATTTGTATAATATGTTGGATAATGGTGATATTATGTCCTTCAGGTTTATGCTTTTGTTGCTCCTAAAATTATTGGTGGAAAGAATGCACCATCTCCCGTGGGTGAACTTGGGATGGTTGAGATGTCACAAGCTTTAAATCTAATTGATGTTTGCTATAAACAGGTTAGTAGGAGTTCTTTGAGTTTCCTTTACAAGTACTGAGATTTTCCCCCTTTCAAATTATATGTTTGACCTATGCATTTATTGCTGAATCTATGATACATCCAAGGAAAAAGTTATGGTATTTCTAGCATTGGATATTTTAGTTGATGTAATTTCCAATTGAGCTGCATTGTTCTTGATATATATATATATATATATATAATTTTATTTTATTTTTATTTTATGAGACTGTGTTACTGATACTGTAATGCAGGTTGGGCCTGACATGCTTATTAGTGGATTTCTTCAGCCCTTACCAGACATCATACCTGTAATCCCATCACGTGATGAAACTTTTGTCGTGGATCCTACTGTCTCACCTGAGTCAAGGATCATATTTTTCTATAAAGCATGGGATCCTTACGGTGCATTGTCAAATTTCTCTCCTCATCCCATTCAAATGCTTGATGAAAATGGTGATTATGTGACTTGGTTGACTGTTGAGCATTACTACCAGGTACTTGATTTTTTTTTTGTTGCATTTTTTCTGTTTTCATTTGCTGTTTTGTTGCATTGCTAATAGATATAATTTTATGTGTAGGCACACAAGTTTTTTGGGGTGAATGATCCTTTGGCACAAGATTGTGTTGAAAGGATTAAATCTGCAAAAAGTCCAGAAGAAGCTGCAAGAATAGGAAGGTCAATGCAAAGGCTGAAACCTTATCTGGTATAATCCTCTGTGGTTTCAAACTTTTCTCAAACTCTTAATCTGATATGGAAGGGAGGAGGGACATAAAGGGGCTAAAATTTCTCCCCTTTCATTTTTTTACCTTTACTTCCACTATTGGGGAGATTCGGAAGGGAGGGAAATAATACTATTACCTTTGGTTCTAATTATAAGCAACATAGAACAAATCATCAAGATCAAGAACAGTAATTAAATTAGTTATTTTTAATTAATGCTACCATAAATTTCCAAAGATTTATATTTAATGGAAGTACTCATAATTCAACGAATATGGAACAAGTGAGTACATAAGAAATAGAGTTAACAATAAATTAAGGGTATAAAAGAAATTTATCTTAGTAACTTTATGAACCGTTGATTATTGCTTATAATTAGGACTAAAGAAAAATTTAATTTGTTGTTTATAATTAAGATCAAATGTAATATATGTTTGTAAACTTTATTGGCTAAATTATCCTTAGTTTGATTACTCGAACTTGATGCCTTTATCTGTTTACGATATAATAGTAAATAGCCACATGCCCCTCATTACCTTGTGCTAAATTTAACTCTGGAAGAATAGGGGCTACAAGAATTGAATTTCAGACCAGTTGGTCATAGAGCTTTGATATCAAGTCATGAACCAACTATCCCATACAAGGCATGCTTTTATCCCTATTGCAGAAGTAACTATCATGTGGTAGATCGTTTTTCTAATGAGATGTCTGTTCGCTTATAGTGTGTAGCTATGAATAAGTATGGTTTCCCTCTGAAAGATGCTGTTTCAAGGCCCATCCATTAGTTTGAGATGTTATGCGAATGATATTTCAATCCATGGCTTTTTTTTTCTCAGTTAGTTGTTTGTTCTTTGGAGGGATTAAAATAGAAAAAACGTAAGAAATCTTATTTAGATTTTGGGGAGAAAATTAGACTATAGAATATACATTAGCTAGGGTCATGATGTCCAAAGCATGTTATGTTGGATTGGTTCCTTTCCCTTTTCCTTGAAAGAGGACTGAAACTTTCTTATTGGGCACACAGATAAACTCTGACTGGGACAACATAAAGATTGATGTCATGTACAAGGCACTGAAATGCAAGTTCTCAATGTACCCACATTTGAATTCTATGCTGCTCTCTACTGCTGGTTCTGTTCTAGTTGAGGCTTCACCTCATGATCTGTTTTGGGGCGGAGGTCGAGAGGGAGAAGGCTTAAATTATCTTGGCAGACTGTTGATGAAATTGAGATCAGAGTTTCTTGGGGAATCTTCATCATCAAGTGAGACATCTAGTTTAACTGTGTAGTGGTTTCAAATTTCAAAGAAAAGAGTAACAATATTTTGATATAGAATTGCCAAAACTGTTTGTTGTGCAACATGTCATGGACAAAACCATGTCACCATCTTGTTAGTTTACTGATATTTTGCTCAGAGGGACTTCCATTCAAGTCTTCAGCTATGTTCCAATTTTACTTTATGTGCCGTTTCCCATTTTGATATCCATGTTGACATGATAATTTAGTGCAGATGTGAATATGCAGTAGAGTATCGCGTTAAAATTTTTGTTAAACATTGGATGTCAAATTAACAGATGAATCAGAATTGCACAATTACAACAGTGGTGGATCAAATTTGTGAAAAGCAGAAGGAGGACCAAATTCAAGAAATAACAATAGTAAAGAGGTCAAATGTGCAATGAAATATTTTTTTATTTGAAGAAAATGTCCTCAGTGATAAGGGTGGATTAAGTTGGTATTATTGGCACCATTAATAGGCCTTAGACAAAGATGGGCCAGCCAAACACTGTTGAATAAACATATAATGTCAATGAGTTAGGAACATGACCTGCCAGTATTTGAACCTTGTCAAACTCCCCCTCTAAATAATGTACTTGTAAAGTGGAAATGCGTGCCAAAATGAGAAAAGATTAATAGAAGTAAATTAAATGTGAACCATAGACATGTTTGTCAAGTGAGAGAGAATAACAAAATTTCATCAAAGGGTAAAAAGCTGTTATTTGTCAAGTGCTCCTCAACTCCCTGGGTCACGGGAAGTTTCTGTGATTGATGTGAACGCTTACTTAATCATGGTTAGGGAGCAATTAATAACGGGCCTAAACCGCAACTACCCCTTCAAGTCACTTATTCTATGGAATCAATGAATCTTTAAGCAAGTGCTATTCTTTAAAAATAGCACCTAGAGCTAGATGTCTAGAACTCTAATTACCTGAGCCGGTTTGTTTTCATCTAGAACTAGAACTAGAATCACATTTGCTACTATAAGAAAATAATAGCATAGTAATGTATTATGATAGGTTAGATTTTTGGATTATCAAAATTACTCTGAACATAAAAGTAAATATTTATTGTGAACACAGTTTACTATAGATGAAAGATTATATAGAGTCACTTTTAAAGTATTATTTTCGGACACAAGTTGTCTTCTAGTAATATTAATTTTATTAAAATCAAAACTAAACTAACAACAAAAACAAACATTTAGGGCTAATTTAGTAGTATAATGAGTAGAAGTAATAGTGATTTTAGTGATGACAACCTTGATGGTTACAAGTGAAGATAGAGGTCACAATGAAGATAATGACACTACTTATAAATTTATAATAACAAGGAGATTGATAAGTAGAAGTGACTTATAATGATAATAATACAAAAAATATCGAATCTTTCAAAAGGATAAATCGAAAACATAAAAACACTTAAAAGTAAAATTAATAATAAATATTTCATTCAATTGATAGATGATTCAACGGTTCAGATAAGAAGACATAACACAATTTTAATAATAAATTAATAATAGTAATGATAGCAACAAAATTGACAAGAGTGACTTGTGATGATAATAATTATAATAGTTATAATATTGAAGATAATAATAACGATGACAATAATAATAAAAAAAATATAATAATAATAAAAATAATGTAATGATTAAAAAAGTTACGATAGTGATTACAATAAATATGGAAAATCCTTGTATGTATGGTGTGAGTACGAGGGTAAAAAATAAATAAATATAATTTTATTTTATTTATTTTCCTAGTAGGACTATTTTTTAACTAATGAACAAGAAAATAAATTTATTCTATCTTATTAACTTACTAAATGATGAATTAAAATAAAATAAAATAACTTATTTTATCGTATTTATTACCTTCCTTTTAGCCATGAAATGAGTGGTGAAGAAATAAAGTTAGAAGTGTCTTTGTTAAAATATAAATATATGTTTCATATGTCTTATTTTAAGTGTGCACAATTGACAAGTATTATTCTTGCAGCGAGAACACGGTACATGTGTGGTGAGCAAACACACGTTTAAACAAAATCTTCTACCTCCTCCTTTCCTTTCTTTATCATTCTCCATTTATATGCTTTGCCATCACATTAACACAAATAGATCCTTCCCTTAGATTTAACGTCAACTTTCACCCCAAATAATAAAAAATATTCACTCTCATTGAAGAATTCTAAAGGTAGTCAATAACAAGAATAGATCCTGTCAAGTGGGGAAAAAAACACTTGGCATAACCATTTTTCAAGATCCCACTATTTATTTTCCTCAATCCCATTTTTATCATAAAAATATATTATATCTAAAGAAATTATTGAAAGATAGGATCTCATGCAATGATAATGCATTAAGAAAAAAATCAAAATCTCACATCAACAAGAGATTAGGTAATTAAATAGTATATAAATAAAAAAATTTCTTATCTTATAAAATAATTTTATAAAGTTGAATTAGACTTAAATTTATTATTTTAAGATGATATCACAACTATTTTAGATCCTAAAAAAGGACCACCAATTATTTATCCATGTAACAAGTCCAAGCCTAATAATACTGAACATAAGTGAATATATTAAAAAAGAATTATACAATCACCATATATAATTATATGCCGTCAAAAATATATTACAAGCCAACATCTTTTTTACTGCTAAGCCTAATAAATGGCAATTGCTAAAACCATATTATGCAAGACAAAGATCCCTACGCAAACTTAAAAAGGTAAGCAAATTGTTATTCTAGAAAGTGCAAAGAAGAGCATAAAGCAAATAAGGAAGGTGCACTACATTAAAAGTTATCAAAATCGCTATTTAAAACGTTTACAATTTAACTTAAAATAATACTTTCTGCCTAGGAACGTTTCAAATCCGTTGTTTAACTTTTTTGAGTAATTATTGAAGTCTTGTTGGTGATGTAGTTAACTTTGAAATTAATAAAACATTTTGAAAATTTGACTGAATCATTTAAAACTGATATATGCTTTCACTGTCATTCATATTATATTACTACTACAGTATAAAATAAAATTTACTTTCATTTGTCACATTAATGATTAATCTCAGGAGAGTTTTTGCGGGTTCCATCATCCAATTAGTTCTCCACCACCAAATTTTTTTTATTATTAATTATTATTTTTTATATAAATATTTCTTTCCATTATCTTATGCATAAAGTGCAGACGTGCACTGCTTCTCCTTGTTTTTGACAAAATTCATGATTTTATTTTTAATAATATAAGTTTGTTCAACTTACAACAGCTAATCACACCAAACCCCAAACATACTTTGAAGAAAAAAAATAAAAGAAGAGTCAAATCATAATTTGTCAAACCCAGACAAAGTTAATTGTTTGATTCGAGATTAAGTTATTACTATTTTACAAAAGAAAAGTATAGGTGGTTATTTCTTTTAGTTGGTATTTTTTAACAGATAGAATTTTCAATTCATATATTTACAATTTATGAAAATGATATAATATATATATATATATATATATATATATATATTAAAAAAATTGATTCACAACTTTTAGTGAGAATCCTTGAATTTACCTTTTATTTTCAAGGCTTTCTGAAAAATCATGTGAATAAGTTTATGTTATTTTCTTTATGTTCATAAAATAATAAATTAATAGTTTCTAGTTATGGATAAAAGCATCTTAATTAAAATGAAAAACATAAAAAAAAAACAATATGAAAATCTTTCAGCCAGATAAGATAGCTAATTGAATTAGCTACACTAATTGTTCGATTTATAACAGTCAAGCAAATAGATAAACAAACAGAAAATTGGTGTTGCCTAAAGCCTAAAACGTGTTGTGAGGAATTGAATCAATCATTAATTAGTTTGACAAATAGATTGTCTGTCAAATAAGTGGTGTATAATTTATTTTTGTCAAAATAAGTGGTTTTGACAAGTAGATCGTTTGACAAGTCATTTTAATTAGTTTATAATTTATTTCACTAATTTATAAATTTATCTGATTAACAAATGAACCTATCTTATTAATTTATAATATTTTCAATTATATATAAAGTATCGCTTAAGTGTATAATTTATTGTTATTTTTTGTTTCATTTTTTTACTTTTGATATTTTTTAAAATTTCACATTTGCTATCTTCTTTGATACTGCACTATTTATTTTAATTATTGCAACATCTATTTTGATTTAAATAAAATATTTGATCTTTAATTAAAAAATTTAAAAGGCTCAAAATTAAGTAAAAAAATTAGAACTATAATTATAAAAAAACGAAATTTATCTAAAAATTAAAAATTATAAACACATGCCTTTTATATTTTATATTTATTAGTTAATTTGATAATTAATTTTACTAAATATACAATGTAATAAGTTAAGTTAATTGTTTTCAACTAATACGTACAAAAAAAAAAGTAGTTTTCAACTAATAGTTTTTAATAAAAAAAAATTAGTTTTTGAACGTTTGGTTAACTTTTCAGCTTTTATCTAATTCATTAACTATTTTTCTCGAATATAAAAAAAAATAGTGAAATTTCATAAATGAATCTATCCTTTATACGACCATGCCTAACATTATTATGTATATGACGATTTCATCACTTTGTTTTTCAGATCTGCATGATAATTAATTTGCTTCAGGCCCATATGAATGTTAAAAATATGATCTTTTTACCTCGACATTTTCTTGAAAAATCTCTTTGCAATGATTATCAAATATAAACTTATTCTATTGTAATTTTCTTTTTCAATTAAAGCAATGATTCACTTATTTTAAAAATAATTTTATTTATATTTATTTTACTCGATAATTTATGTTTTATATTAAATTTTAATGATCTAATAGTTGAATTAAAATTTATTAACATATAAATTAAGTCTGTAAATTTTTAAAAAATTTAAAAATTATTTGATTTTTTATGATTATCTATCAATTTGAATTAATGAAACAAAGTATTAAATAGTTTTTAAATTTTTAAAAATTTACAAACTTGATTTATATATTAAGAATTTTTAATTAAAAATTTGATCTAAAATATGAGATATTAGTTGGCATAAATATAAATAGATTTATTCTTGAAAAGTGGATCTTTTCTTTTTTAGTTGTGTTATTAATCTCTTGACTACTCGAATTTATTTCTATCGAGCCAATACTTTTTTTATTTAGGCAAAAAAAAATAAAAAAAAAT